ATTGACTGTTAAGTGGTTTATCTTGCCATTATTTCTGCATCTGGTCGGTTGCATTTACGCCTGCTTTCTTTTTTAAGTATTTTGCAGGTCCACTGCTTTTCTTGTATTTCTTCATCCATTTGAAACTCCATTTTGAACTTGTTGGCTTCCTTTATTACTGAATAAAGTCGCTTAATACTTTCATGTTATTTGACACGTTCTTTGACCGTCTTTTGTAGTTTGCAGGTATCTTTGAAGGCCAATTTTTATAGTTTTGTAAAACTGTTCTAGTTGAACTAATCCTCTGTCTCCTCTGGATCTGGGAGCATACAGACGATTAACATAACATTTGGATGATGCATGCGGTGGAAGTTGAGAACTTTTTCGTTATGGCGACCATTCACTTAATATCATATCTGGTCCAGTTAAGGATGTTAAAACAGGGAAAGCCAATGTGTTTATGGCTGATATTCTGTTTTTTTGAGTTAAGCTTGGTATTCAGTGCCAAAAACACACGCCTGTAGTATTCCTTTCTTACCTTAAACTGGGTATACTGTATTCCATCTCCTTCGCTAATTTCTAGGTACTTATAGGCGTCTTCTTGTTTCATTTCCCTAATCTTTGTGACAAAATCTAAATCTATTGAGTGTGTTTCTGTAATTATCCTTTTCTTATGTTACTTTAGCACATTTGTCTAATTCGAAATCTATATTCCTGTCGTCACTGAAACATTTTAGAGTATTGACGAGACAGTTTAAGGACAGGCTGAGTAGAAGGGTTGTTTGGAGACTCATTGAAAGATTTCTCGTCGGATATACAGGCCGTTGTAGATGTCAGTGTCTCTGATATGATTTAGGTATAATGTGGTATTTCCCATTCCCATGGTGTGTTTAAGGAAATTTACTATCACGGGGGAGACTTCGTACATTTCCAAGGTCTTAAGGATCCAAGAGTGTGGCCCACATTCAAAGGCTATACGGCAATCTATCTATGCTGCGCTAACATTTCTAAATCATCTCCTGCAATTCTCCAGGATCATCAGTAGTTGATCTTTTCAACCATATGAACTTCTCCTGCATACTTTCTGTTCCAGTGGAAGAAATTATTATTATTATTATTAGTAGTAGTAGTATTAGTAGTAGTAATAGTAGTACGAGTATATTATCTATAGATGCTTTTATTGCAATTCTTTAGCATATTCATATAAATAGTTTTATCACAACATTCTGGGTGAATACAGTTTTCCTTATTACTCTAATTTATTGTGAGATTCATTCAGTCTTATTGTTACTTTTTTTCTCAATACTTTCCGTTAATAAGTTTTCCTTATCACTATTATTTTATTACTCGCTTCATTCCATGCTTTTTGTTCCATCCCTGTAGCCAGATACACTCTTCATTATTACGATTATCTTATTACTAATTTTATTCCACTTTATTCTTTCTTTTTCCTTAATCCTATTTGTCAATACGCGCTTTATTATTGCCGCAAATTTATCAATAGCTTTACTCCATCTTATTATTTTCTTTTTTTATGTAAGAGTGAGTCGATAAATTAATTCACCTACTCCCACTGTAAACATTATTAATCGTAAAACTTAATAAATTGCTTCTCAACTAGCTTTGGGATCGTATCCCAAACTAGGGTAGCTTGTCTTTCATAGAGGTCGCTTTGACTACTTCGGTTATGGAAGCATTTATCGTTAAGCCATGCAGAAGTCAGATTTTCTTCCGCTAATCTTCCTTCCGATTCTCGTCCGCCATCTTTATTTTACTACCCAAAGGCAATAAAGTGAGGCATTTGCAATAATTTATGTTTTTTTGTTTTTAAACACCAGTTTGCTAATAAAATAAATATAAATCAGGGACGGAATTTATTTGTTTTTTTTCAATAAAATATTTTCGTTCCGTATCCCTCTCCGCCCATTTTTTTCAATAAAATATTTTCGTTCCGTATCCCTCTCCGCCCATTTTTTTCAATAAAATATTTTCGTTCCGTATCCCTCTCCGCCCATTTTTTTTCAATAAAATATTTTCGTTCCGTATCCCTCTCCGCCCATTTTTTTCAATAAAATATTTTCGTTCCGTATCCCTCTCCGCCCATTTTTTTCAATAAAATATTTTCGTTCCGTATCCCTCTCCGCCCATTTTTTTCAATAAAATATTTTCGTTCCGTATCCCTCTCCGCCCATTTTTTCAATAAAATATTTTCGTTCCGTATCCCTCTCCGCCCATTTTTTTTTCAATAAAATATTTTCGTTCCGTATCCCTCTCCGCCCATTTTTTTCAATAAAATATTTTCGTTCCGTATCCCTCTCCGCCCATTTTTTTTCAATAAAATATTTTCGTTCCGTATCCCTCTCCGCCCATTTTTTTCAATAAAATATTTTCGTTCCGTATCCCTCTCCGCCCATTTTTTTCAATAAAATATTTTCGTTCCGTATCCCTCTCCGCCCATTTTTTCCTCTATTGCGTTTTTCAAAGTTCTTTAATTTGCTGTTTTTTAAATAATTATGAAATCATTTAGTATCACTAAGTGCGCACGCAAGTGACAGCAAGTCTTTTTTTTTCAATATTAAAATACGTATTCAAGGTGATTTTAGGAATACTATCAACGAGCTATTCCAGTTTCTTCTAGTTTCTATTTCTTCAAGTATTTTTTTAACTGGTCTCCTCCTGACTGTTCTTCATACTCCAACAATTCCTGGAACGACTGTAACTTTTACATTCTACAATTTCTTTATATCCGTAGCAAAGACAATATACATTTTTATATCATCACATTCCTTTGCTTTAACTTAATGGTCAGCCTGGACATCGAAATCCTCCTTGGGGCAATGTTACTCTTTTCTTCTTGTTTTTTGACAACCAAATACTTTCATCTGACTTCAGATTTTCTTGTATGTGTTTGCGATGGTATAGTTTTTTTCTTGGACAGCACATTATTTTTCACTGTTTGAGATCAAGTGACAGTAGGTTTCTTCAATACTTTTGCTCACTCTTCAGTAGCTCTTTTCCAGAATTTTGTCGTTTTGAGGGCTCGGGCTTTTTGTTTGATCTCAAGTTAAACTGGCTTTTTCACGAGACATTTTGAAATCCTTCCAAGTGCTCCAAAAACGATAGGCCATGTTTATGTTTCACTTTTTCTTCGTCCTGGGGTATCACCATAAACCACACCCGGCAGCAAGGACTCTGATCGGGTGATTGGAGGTTCTGAAATATGTGGAGCTACCTCTTGACTGCAGTCTTACCCAGGTTCACCCTGTTCTCGGGTGGTAGCGTCTCAACTATCGGAAAATAGTGAACACCCAAACAAAAATCAATAGTACATTTTTATAGCAAAATGACCAACAAAACATTTTTAAAACAAAATTACAAATAATACATTTTATAGCAAAATGACTATCGATACAACACTAAGAAAGTATAGAATTATATTTTTATAGTCATCTTACCTGCAATAATTTTTTTAATAAAAATTACTAACAGTACTTTTTATGACGAAATTACTAGCAACGCATTAATTACCAACCATACATGTTATGATCTACAAACTATATATCTGAAAAAACATACTTTTACTCTGAAAGTCTAAAATGATGTACAAAATATTTAGATTTCGGCATTAAATAACCCATAGAGGTGTTGATATTCCGCTAAACAAATCAACCAGCCATCCAATATTTCTTTTGTAAAATCTTGAAATAATTGCAGATTTTCATTTTAATGATTGTTTTTGGGAACAGCATAGTCTGAAAAAAATTCTCCTTCTTTACTATTTTTTCGCTTTTTTAAGGCTTGATTTGTTTGTCCGAGTGAATGTCAAAATCCTATCGAGTTTTATTTTGTTTACTCTGATTAAATAAGAAACAAAGAAAACATTTATAAATTTCACGTGTTATGATTGCTTTAGTGTAACTGCAACAGAAAAAAATTCTTTAATATAAGAGAGACAAGTTTCATATGAATCAGTGATTAAAATTACATTAAATACACTTTTAATTAGAATCAGGTAGAGACAGTTGACACTTCTGGGGACACTGAAAGGAGGTTCGGAGAATTTGACACACACAAAAGAAATGCTGTGTCCATTAGTATATTTGATGTGGTGAAATAAATAACAGCTCGGAATGAGAAATCGAAGAACCGAGTTCGAATTCCAAATACCCTCAAGGTATGAAACCACCTGTATCCCCCCACCTATGTGTTGAATAGCAGGACAGAGTGTATCGTATAGTCTTGGTTAGGCAATCAGTCTATCGCAGAAAGAAATGTCAACCTAGTGCGACAAAGTCAGTCATGAATCGAAAGAGACATGATCGCCAAAGCGTGTATTACGGATGCCACTTAACCGACTGTCTGATATCTGAGATCTACTAACACAGAACAGGGGGATATGAATAATATAAGGAGATGAACTGAAATAATTAAAACTTGAACACATTTTATATACAAAACATGTCTACAAATACATACGTAACATTAAACATTCAGTACACACACACACACACACAAACACACACACATATATATACATATGTCAAAAACAGAGAAATTAAGCACATATGAAAAAGTAAGCAATATGCGAAGGGAATGAATAAAAAGAAGGTCGTCATTTTAATGTTTTCAAGCTTGACACACAGTCTTGAGGTAACTTTTCAATTCTGCTTTGGGAGTATGCCATCTTTTGTGGGAAGTCAAGAAACAATTTAAAATGTCCGCTAACGCACAGTCACGTGACCTGTAATAGCCCCTTAAGACATTTGTAAATTATTCCCATTGAAAGGAATATAATTGCCTCCTCCTTACAGTCGTTTATTTATGTACAGGAATAACTTGCCGTTCACTAAATTTTTCACTGAAATCTTCATTCGTATAATAACCTGACTTAATATTTTGATTTTTATTCTACGAGTTTTCGAAATCGAATAAAAATGACGAGAAATCAAATCATTTAAACATTTGACGGGTCAAAATTACACGCGTAAATAAATTAAATATTAAAAAAAAGTTTTCTGTAGGAATTCATATTATTCTTTCTTTCTTTCTTTCTTTCTTTCTTTCTTTCTTTCTTTCTTTCTTTCTTTCGTTCTTTCTTTCTTTCTTTTAGTGTTGCTTTAATTATTTTATTTGTTTTATTTTTCTTGTCCATAGTGATAAAAAGGATAATTAACTTCTTAACATTTAATTGATTTCAACATTAAATAATTCCGTTTAACCTAATAATTTTGCCAATCATTCATTATCATAAATAAATATAAACCAGTTGAATTAAACGGTGTATTTATTAAAATTATACATAATTTAAAGAAAGAGTATTCATATTTAAAAGTTATCCCCCCTTAATTTTCTTCGTTTTGATTTTCCAGTGAATCATTCAACGAAACTGAAGACCCCATTTAACGTTTTCGGTGAAACCAGTTTTCTCACAACTGAATTTGTTTCCCCGCAAGCCTTCTCTCTGATTCTATTTCTCATCTATGCTTTGACTCATGTCCACCAGCATCATGTATGATTGCCGCGTTCTCTACAAGAGGTCTGCGAGTAACAGGAGCATACAAATGAAGATTTACGTGAATCAACTGAAGACAGATGCTGAAATCAAAACACCGGTTCCGAACCGACCTTAACCAAACCAGAGACTGAACGGGAAATTTCTTGAGAAATGGGCAACACATTCACGACTAGCATCACAGGTCCAGGATTGATCATTATATCGACCGTACCGTGTTTACACACAAAATCTGTCGATATATTTATAAGATTATTTTTTTCGTACCTTTTCTGGTTTGTAATGATTTATTTCTTGTTACAATGAGCATTAGTGGCGCCATCAATAGACCTTAATGAATGATATCTTAAGGCAAACAAGGAGGGAGGTTTGCTTAATACGGCAAAAAGAAGAATCATTAAGTTAATTATATCTGGGTGTTTGGGTGTTACAGAGAGAAAGAGAGTGAGAGAGAGGAATAAAGAGAGAGAGAGGAAGAAAGAGAGAGAGAAAAAGAGTGCAAAGGAAAGGACTCGTATTAGTGAAATAAGTTCAAAATTGCTTTCAGAGTATTGCTTTTAATGATGTTGATACTTATAGTTGAGTCAGGAGAGCAACGATAGGGTTTGGCTTGAATCATCAGCAATGGTCAATAATTAAAGGAAAAATGTCAATTCTGACAATTCCACTATTCTTGTGTTTGATCCAAGAAATAACTAAAAATAATTCAAAATTGAAACAGAATAAAGTAAACACACACATACACACAAGCGCGCGCGGGAACACACACGCATGCGTACACACATTATATATCTGGCCTGAAGATGGCTTTCAAACATAAAACAGACTGTCGCTGTTGACCTCAGTAACCACTTTTATAATTAAAAATGTCACTATTGTCTATAAGTAACCCTTTTACACATAGATATACCATATCTTAAAAACATATTTTATCATTTATCATCTATCTATCTATCTATCTATCTATCTATATATATATATATATATATATATATATATATATATATATATATATATATTAGTGACATCCGTTCCCATATAAATCATTGTGTAGGGATGAAGAAGGCGATTATACCGCTTTGGGCATGAGGAATTTACGAGGGTCACGTGAAAGGCGGTGAGTGACATCAGATCCTGGGGTGACGAATCCAGGTTACTACGTAGACCTCGAAGAAGATAGACATCAGCATAACCCCTCAGCTGTAGGGCAAAACATGGGAAATCACATGGTCTCACCAAAGAACACAGAGGACGCCACCAGCATGTAAAACCCTCTTGCTTTTCGGTTTTCACTCTGCTTGTTTTTTTCATATGTGTTACAGTTTCTCTGTGTGCGATAAATAATGGCAGATAAATATATTGTGTATATATATCTTGTATGACGTAGTGGTATATAAAATCTGTTCGTGAACAATTCATATTTGTCATTCCTTTCTTTCAGCTATGCTCTGTTCCTTCCTTCCATTGTGTTATGGTGTTATTATTGCACGGATGTACCAATGCCTATAATGGGGCAACTAGTAATATTCCGTCTTTTCCAGTCTCCATTAATAATATTAAAAACAACCAAATTACAACTATCAACAAAAAACTAGTAAAATTAATAGATAAAATCCAAAATGGTTAACAGCACTCACTGCCAGGAAAGACTCCACATTCTCGAAGCTATATTATACGAATAAAACTACATGAAATAAAATAACATTCACGACAGGAGACGGTATTTTAAAACGTTTATAATATATATAACATGTGTATGAAAAGATTCCAGTAGACTAATTGAAGGGATTCCTGGAGGCCCATGCCTTAAAGAAATACAAAAAATACAGACCACACCTTACAAAGGACTTTATCTATATAAAATATTTTCCTTTTTTTTGTCGGTGGAAAATGATGGCATTTCTAACCTTAAGTCTTTGGGCGGGACCTGGAACGAAATGTGTACACACCAGAAATCAAAGGAAATAATAATAATAATAATAATAATAATAATAAATGTATTAAATATTGTTTACGCATTATTATTATTATTGTGACATCATTTGTAAAACGGTTTCTGTTTTATATATTGGTTGCCATCTTTGATTTATTTTCTTCCTCTAATTGCGTCTATACATCCTATTTGAAGTGGAGCCCACACACAAACACATAGATACACACACAAACACACACACACACACACACACACACACACACACACATATATACACATGACGTCACTTATACGATACACGTTTGAATTTGAAACTTAGCGTTCTAAAAAGTGTTAGGTTGTAGCCAACAAAATCTTTTCTGCCATACTGATAACATTCAATTCTTGGCTCTGACTAAGACAGTTGAAACTATGCGAACAAAAGAGAAGAAAAACTGAAATTTGGACAGTCTATTTCCAGTTTTAATTTGGATGTACAACTGATTCGAAAATTAAAGGAAAAATACAAAATATAATTAAAAATTAAACAGGCACACCTTAGTGGTTGAAACTTTAAAAAATGAACATGTTTATATGAATTTTTATATATTCTCTGTGTTCAGTCAATTAATGTTCTTTAAGGCGAGTATTATTAAAAACAAAAGGCGTTACGTGCCGATTAATTTTACTTACCGACTTTTCTAAATTACGATTCTTTTCTTCTTAAAGAAGAAAGAAATTCTGTCAGACATTGTCCAAAGTTCATTTCGGAAGAAAAGTACAAGAAATATAATCAGAGCTTTCGACTTTATTAAGTCATCATCAGGGTAGGTAGAAACAACTGGTGAGTTTCGTAGAACTCGTCTCTGCCTACTTCAGAAAGTCGAAAGCTTTAACCATTATTTCTTGTAGTTTTCTGCTGAAATGAACTTCGGACAATTTCTGACGGAATTTCCTCCTTGTTTGAGAAGGATGTTCGTAATTTTAGTTGATCAATAAAATGAATCAACACAAAGCGCGTATTGTTTTTAATAATAATTATATATATATATATATATATATATATATATATATATATATATATATATATATATATATATATATATGTTTGTGTGTATATCTATGTGTTTGTATGTGGGCTCCACTTCAAATAGGATGTGTAGACGCAATTAGAGGCAGAAAATAAATCAAAGATGGCAACCAATGGCTGAAATTAAGTTCGAAGGCGCGACCGGAAGTAATACCTGGTTGATTGAAAGGCGATAACTAATTCAGATGAAAGTAAAAAGACCTTGTTGAATGTTCAGGGTTTGGTGTTTCCTGAATGGACCAGATCGAGGTATCGATCCATCACGTTTTGTATTGTATTGTATTTATTTTTTTAATTCAAGTACCACCGGTGATCGATACCAGATAATTTATTTAAAATGAGAGTAGTTAACTTTTAATGGACTTCTCGCCAGGATATCATTTGGGACCTATTATCTAAGTGAGATTAGTCAAGAGTAGAAAACAATTGGTGAGATTGGTACAAACTTGGCACAGGACGTACTTAATTAAGCGGAGAGTTGCATTCACTTTTCTTTTCATGAAGTAAATTGATTATATAAGATCTAGACAAACTTTTCTAGAGAGAGGTCAATCAATGACGTTTAAAAGCAATACTGAGAAATAAATATCGATATGCCGATGAGCTATCTGTTGTTTTGAGGAATTAAATTTTCCTGTGAGAAACTTGAACAAATTTATAAATCTCCGTTTGCCTCTATCTTCACGAAATCTTTTTAAAAATCTTTGAACATTATTATGATCATCGATAATGGAACATAAGAAAATGTTTGTCAACGAGCAATATTGGCATTATCGTGAGATTAAACTTGGTTTCCGGATAAATTTACCTGAATCACGAACCATCGAACATATTTGCATCTCACTTGATAGCAGAACTCATTTGATGCTATCACAGAGAAAAAAAATTCGATTTCACTCGGGATCATAAAGTCCACAATGATTACATACCAAGTGACCCAATGTGAATTAATTTTCTGCTAACTAGATAATTATCTAGCTACCAAATGAAGTTCAAATTAAGATTTTAAACATACGCTAGACAAGAGAAGGAAAGGGAACCAGAACAAACGTTTTCTATTGTCTGCCCCACGATACATAAAATCCAAGGTCGGGGAGACATCAGCATCAAGTAAGTACAAAAATCTGGGAAGTGTTTTAACACAAGGCGGAAAGTGCGACATTAAAATCCGAAGGTAGATTGGGATAGCGAAAGATGCTTTCCAAAACAAAGCAAAGTATTAAGAAACAGGAAAATTTCGTCAGAAATAATAAAAAAAGAGTACGGAATTGTTATGTAATATCAATCCACTTATATTCCAGTGAAAGCTGGAAAATCTCCTTCCAGATGAAGAAGAAACTCGAAGGGACATAAACGTAGTTATACGGAAGGTTGCTGAGAATACCATAGACTGAACATGTGAGTAAAGAGGAAGTTTTAGAGAAAATGGAAATATAAGGACACATATACTTAACATTGGACAGTTGAAAGTTTTAGGGCACATAATGAGGAAAGGGCCTTAAAAATTCACAGAACATATTGAAGGCAAGAGGGACAGAAGAAAGCAACGAATAACTTACCTCTCGAGCTTGTGTAAATGGCTGGCTGAACAGGTTT